CCGCTAAAGGTCGACGCAGATTACTCCCACTTGCTTCCTCTTTCTGCTTCAATCTGCTCTCATTTTGTTCCAACATTTTCTCCTACGATTCTCCTTTCCTCCAACGATTCTCCCTCATTTAACAACATATAGTAGAAGAGATACCGCCGGCCACCGAAAACTTCCCCTCTCCGGCCACCGGCACTGTTGCTGCTGTCGATTTCCTTCTCCCTGGTTCGTGTTTCCTTCCTCATCTCTTCCTTTCTTTCTACTTTAATGTCGATTTCCATAAGAGTTTGTGATTAATTGCATTTTTGTTTTCAAAAATCTCTCTTCCTCTCTGGTCACCATCACTACCGTCGGCAGTTGCTGTCACCTGCATCAACTACCACCACCATTGTTGCAGCACCGAAGACTCCAGTTGAAAGAGGGAAAAGTTTTGGGAACCACAGGTGCATTTTTTTGTAATTTGTTTTATATGTGTGCATTTGTGTGTGTATTTTGTATATATGTGTGTATTTCATATATGTGTGTGAAATATGTTATATGTGTATGTATTTCATATATATGTATGTGAAAATTGTGTGTATTTCATATATGTGTGTGTAAAAAAAATACGTATATGTGTATAATGTATGTATGTATGTATTTCTATGCAATTTGGATTGTGTTCATAGTTGTTTTATGTGTATAAAAAGTATGTATATTTGTGTATAATGTATGTATGTGTGTATTTATGTGCAATTTGGAGTGTGTTGATGGTTGTTTTATGTGTATAAAAAGTATATATTTGTATATAATGTATGCATGTGTGTATTTATGTGCAATTTAGTTTGTTGGTTTGTTAGTTTGATTGTTGGTTTAACTTAAAAGGTTAATGTTAGTTAGGTGGTTTGTTAATTTCATAATTTTAAGTTTGGTTTAAGTTAATAGGTGGCGGGAACAACAATCCGGAGTCTACTGTGGAACTTATAGGAGGGAACAACGGTGGCGGGGATGATGACACGTCGTATTAGATTTATCTTTTATTAGAGATTGTAGTATGATATAAATTTATAAGAATTTTGTTATTTATTTTGGTGTATGTATGGTATTATAAAACTTGGATGTTATGTAATCGTTTTTCTGCATTTAACGTATCGGTTTTTCTGCATTTAACGTTATTATGTATCGGTTTTTAGACAGCCGAAAATGATTGCTTTTAAAAAAAATAAAAAAGGCAATAGCGGCGACATCGGGCATTAGCGGCGACATGAGTATTAGCGGCGACACATAGCATTATCGGCGACATCATCATTAGCGGCGACAGTGAGCATTAGCGGCGACTTTTTGATCAATAGCGGCAAGGCAGTAGCGGCGACTCAATAGCGGCGACGTGCCGCCGGTAAAGCTATTAGCGGCGACTTTGGTGAGCAATAGCGGCGACTTTTGTCGCCGCTAATACCCTTTTTTCTTGTAGTGGCTTCATTGCTGGCAAATTTTTATAAACTTCTTCACTTTCCTTTTTATGAAAAACCAGAAGATGATTACATCCATCCATGCTAAATAAGTAAATATTTCAACAGCAACAGGACGAAGCTGGTAGATTTCATCAACACTATTAAGCTTCCACATTCCCCCACTGTTTGTCACTTTCTCCTTTCCCCATGCTCCACCATTGTAGGCCCACTATGTGCTTTAACAGCCCAACACAAGAGTGGGACACATTTTGGCTAAATCCACCATGAATTATTTGAATCTTAACAACAGAATGAGTAACAATGTATGTATGGATAAAGGTCACGTGTACATAAGATTTATTTCTTTTATTTTCTAGACTGAATAAGCCGTTAAATAAGACTAAATGATCATATTACTTCACATTTCAACAAACAATTTCTACAATATTCATCAGTTTTAACATGAGAGGTTGGGTGGAAAAGGTAAGAGCAGATATGTTGTAAAGGGTTGGTGTCTTAATACATCAAGTCAAGTTTTTGGCTTAACCCATAAAGCTCATTAAGTAAAAAAGAAACAGCCCCTTATCGAGCATAAACGGTGTATAATAATATGCATGTTAACGTAGATCAACTAAATTGAGCATTGACAAAGTTCCAGAAGTTGGAAAGGCTTATGTTGATTTTCCATCAAGTGCAAATATGAGTTTCCTTCCAGAGAGCTGTAGTAATGCGAGATAGGCCTGGCAATCGCGTCGTGTTCGGGTTGGCGTGTCAAAATATGTCAACCCAAACACGACCCATTTAAATATACAGGTCACGGGTTGACGGGTTTGGAACATAAACCCATATATGACCCGCCAACCCATTTATTTATACGGGTTCACAAGTTGGCGGGTTCGTGGGTCAGATCCCATAAATAAAATTGACAATTAAACATGAATAAATTCTTGTTGGTTGATGCAAACATATTCGAATTTTAGACACTTAAGTCTTAAACATCCAAATGAAGATTTAAAACATTCATAGAAACATGTTCAAACTAAACATTAATACAAACATAGATAATTCAAGTGTTATTAAATATTAATACTTGATACATAAATACATTTAAAAATAAAATAAATTTTTTTATTAAAAATATAAACGGGTTGGCGGGTCAACCCATTTATTTTTTGAGAAACCCATATATGACCCGTTTAATAAACGGGTTGGCGGGTTGAAAAACTCAACCCAAACCCATTTATTTCGTGTCGTGTCGCGCGTCGTGTCGAGAATTGCCAGCCCTAGTGCGAGGTTCCCTAATCTTTCAAAATCCCACTATGATCTGTCTTACAACGTCCTTGCTTATTAGCACTCTCAGGCCTTTGATTGTTGGAAACCAATGCCAAATCGGTTTCTAAAATGACCATATTACCCCCACAACAGGGACAAACTGGAGAAGATTTTTGTCTTGAAAAAGTCCCCAATACCCTGGACCCAAAATAAATAAATGTTCAAACAGATAGTAAGATCGTAGCTTCCATGACAAATCACTGACCCTTGCACAGGTTATGGGTTGTCCCGATTGTTACAGCAGGAGAGAGGGAATACCCTAGTCTACTGTGTGTCTAATAAGCTTCCCATTAAGATACACATATGCAACACTAGCTTGGTTTGCCATTGGTCTTCATTAACATCTAACCCTGAACAAGACAATGAAGATGAATTGCTGGTTACGAGGGCTAATATTCCATCTTCTTCAATACAGATTTCTGCATAAAATGTATCAACACCAACTGAGAATAACGTTTTATCTTGCATCACAACTATTCTTTCAAGAATATGACCAGGATTCCTCTGTCTCACTTGCAGAAGACATCTTATAATCATTCTAAGTTCTGCTGTTGATAACCTGTAAGCACCGAGTACTTCAATAATCTTTAAAGCATGGGAAAGTGGAGAGGATGAACCCGAAAGGAAAGTATATATTTTGTCTCCAAAAGAAGCTCCACACCACCTGAAAGAACATAGCACAGATAAGATACGGACTGCTGCTAACAGCATGTAAAATATGTAGAGAGAGTTAATTACCAGCAGATGTTAGGTATTCTTGATTAAAAGGTCCAGCTGAAGCAAGCTATTCGATAAGTTTTAGCAACTCCAGCTGTAATTTTGGAGTAAAGAGCAACAATGAACGAATGAGGATCTTCAAAGCACCAGCATTGTATATCCGCTCTCTATCAGGAAGAACATTTAATGATGTGGTAGTTTCTGGTGTTGAAAATGGCGGGAGTATAATCTAAAGGAACAACTGAATTACTTGTCTTTCACACTCCACACAAATCAAGCCAGACTTGGATAAAAGATCATAGAAAGCGTGTGTGTTAATAGCATTATTGCACACCCCAGCATGCAATAAATATGTGAAAACTTTGGTGCAAACTGGTAAAAGAGATGGCTTCACCAACGATTAGATTTGGATTTAGCTTACCTGTGAAGAATCTTCAATGATTAAACATGATATGACACGAAGGACACCTGGATGATTGATATCAGAGACCAAAACTACACCATTTGCAGCCCGGAATGTTACTTGATTCTGTTCTGCTTTCTTCATTAAATAGAACAAACAATTCCAAGATGCTGAGATTGTGCCTTCGGCTTCAAAAAGAGACAACTTTCCTGAACCAGAACCCAACAATCTTGGAGATGAAATAATTGTGTCTTTACTGTGTAAATGTTTCTTAAAGCTGCTGGAGTTTGACTTTATGCTTTTTTATACACATTTACATGACGGATCAACTTAATGGTCATATGTGTAAAAAATGAAAAACATAAGTCACTAAATGTGCATAAAATGAAAATATAAATTACTAAATATGTACAAGAAACAAACGACATAAGTTTCATTCTTGTGAAAAACATAAACGACATAAAGGTGTAGAAGAAACTACATAAATGTGTACAAGAAACGACATAAGTTTCATTCTTGTGGAGTTGCAATTGGTAAAGGAAAACATCAGTAGAAAGAATTCCAATCGTTAATTGTTTTTTTTTTGCATACGTTTAGTCGTTCATTGTTAATCAAGAAGAAAATGACATATGGAGGAATATACCATACATATCTAATTTGTAAAATATTGTCTGGATCAAGCTTCACTGAAATCTATTCATCACTTTTAATCTCGACTCCTGAATAATGAGTTTTCAAAAAACAATGAATGTAAGTAAACCTTAAACACCAGATTGTGGCAAAGAGTACCATCCTGAATGCATGCAATCTTATAAATCCAAGCTATTTCAAACAAGGTAGGTTTTATTAACGTGCAGATACAGAAATACACAAACAAACAGAAAAAATCAGATTGATATACATGAATTAACACATTGGCAGTCTACCTAAAAACAAAGTTCTAGGCTATTAGTCTGTCTTTCTTACCAACATGAACATGGAAAAGATATATTCTAATAACAAACAACTCAGCTGTGCATTCCAATTAACTTCCACCAGCAGCATAGACAATAAAATTGAAAATAAAATACATACATACCAAACATCTAATATCTACATGAAACATAAACAAATAGAAATCAAGAGAGATATTATTTATCCCAAAACTTCATTGTTTTAAGCTTGCTGCATACACGTGCACATTCAGAAGCCAAACTTGCTTCTTTCTGTCATTAAAAAAAAATATTATATATCAAAACAACTCAATTCAATGATTCATAATATAGTCACATAGTTCAGGGTATGCTCCAGTACAGGAACACAGTTCGCGAGGTTAGACGTATCGGATACTGAGGGGGTAGGTTCATTTCAGTAAGGTGTACCATAGGTACATGTTTTCAAAATCAAATTCAATATAAATATTTGATAATTGATATTACAGCAATGTTGTATTTAGTATCAATGCATATTGCCAGCAAGTCAATAACATAATATTATAAGCAAGAAATTTATAAGTATTTTTCCAATGCCCAAATCATCCAGTAACATGGAATACTAGCTTTGGTACGAAAAAGGATGAAATACAAATTTGAGACGGCCCATGAAATTTAATCAACAAAATTCATGAAGGCAAGAAAGAGAGACTTACAGAAGGCATCCAATCTTGGATTAAAAGAATAGCAGTAGAAAAGGAGCAGAAATAGAAATTGAAAACTAGAAGTCAGTGCTCAATGGTAAATTGCTAACAGTGGAAAACAAGAATCATGTAATTGAAGAATATGAAGTATAAGGTGAGAGGGGTCTGAATTAATATGCTAAACATACCTGGTATCGAGGAATCAAAACAAGAGTCGAAACGGATTTATGATGAATCGTTGCTTTTTGGAATCGACGGAGGAATTCCCGCCAATCGCCAAATCGGCGATCCAATCGTCAATTCGTCGCCGAACCCAATTCATCGCTGAACCCAATCGTGAACGGGAGCAATCCAAGTCGATACAAACGTGTTCCCGTCATCTTACCGGCTGATTGATTGGATTGTGACGACACCGTACCAGAGAGCGTTTCGGCCTGCGTTGGGATCGATTATGTACCGCATTTGCGTACGAAACGTTCAGAACGTGGTACGCGGCCTATTGCGCGACTCCTGTGACTATGATTAACATACAACTAACTAAAAAAAGAAGTTCTACTCAGGATTATCTTATCTTGGAGTACCTAAAGAGGATTATGTTTTTCTACACATCACTTTTGATGGAAAAAAATTTGTTGTCAAAGGCAGTCCGAACAAAGGTTTTGATTGTCGCTTGATAAAAAATTCACAGTAACCAATACTTTGAGATATAACAGTCTTCACTTATATGGAGTAATATACAAAAAAGATCCTGATATGCCATCATATCCTTTTGAAGATGAAAAGAAAGACACACCAATGTTGGAAGAAGCAAGTTATGTATCTGCTTATACACATACTTTCAGGAAGTATTCAATAATAAATTTCTAGGGCAAGGAATAATCTTTTTTTTCTCAAATTTGATCATTTCTATTGAACATCTACATGCTCTATTTTGTGTGGATTCCAAAAAAAACAATGCGTGGCTAATTTATCATTTTCACAATCCTAAGGGGCTGTTTGTTAGCATCTGGATCACGAAGAGGCATAGATGATGAAGATCTTTATGAATCTATATCTAAACGGTAAATTGATGTTAGTTTGATTCTTGCCAAACTAGCACCTATATGTAATCAAAATACGTATTCTCCATTAACTTATATGCTTTGTTTTGTGCCCTAACTGCCGATACACGCAGCCTTTCTCTCACGAAAGCTCTACGTATCTCTACAACAATGTCCTCTTGGTAAAGGAATTCGTTTCTATTTCAGTATCTTCCTTTTTCATTTCTATCGTTAGGGTTTCCGTTTTGTTTATGTTTTCATATAGACGTTAGATTCTTCATAAATTTGATATTTTCAATTTTTATTATTTGTGATGGTTAGGGGTTTAGGAGGTTGTTAATATGGTGATCATATTATCTGATTTAGGTTATTAGGTAAAATGCGGCGAACCAATTTGAAGCAGAGGTTGATGAAGAAACAGTTTTGTTTCTTTTAAAGGTATTACCGGAATAAGGGAATATCCTTATTTTGCTGTTCATTAACATACAACTAACTAAAAAAAAAAATTTTACTCGGGCTTATCTTGGAGTACCTAAGGAGGACATAAAAGAAGATTATGTTTCTCTACACATCACTTTTAATGGAAAAAATCTTGTTGCTGGAAACTTTAATCCTCAAAGGCCGGTCTAAACAAAGGTTTTGGTTGTCACTTGATAAAAAATTCACAATAACTCATACTTTGAGATATAACATTCTTCACTTGTATAGAGTAATATAAAAAAAAGATCCTGATATGTCATCATATCCTTTTGATGATGAAAAGGAAGACACACCAAAGGTGGAAGAAGCAGGTTATTTTTCTGCTTATACACATACTTGCAGGAAGTATTCAATAATAAATTTTTGGGGTAAGGAATAATATTTCTCTCTCAAATTTGATCATTTCTATTTGAGCATCAACATGCTCTATTTTGTGTGATGTTATCATATGTGTTTTCTTATTCTAATTTGATTGTTTTTGCAAAATCATAATTTAGGGGCTGAAGTGAAAAGTGATCAAACGCTTCATGTAAAGCTTGATCAAGAGAGTTATTTGAACCTTAAACTGGTATATACATGCAATTTTGGTTTTGCTTTAAATTAACATTAAAGGAACTTACTATTTTTTTTAATTCATGCATGTAGGCTTCTCTTTTCCATATTTGTATTCGAGACATTGGAAATAAAGAAACAAATGAGTCATCTTTGTGTTTGGAAGTCATAACCTGTGAAAAAAAAATCAACTAGAAAGGTTTCACCTAAAAGGCTGTCACACCAAGTAATGTACTTAAAGTTTGATAAAGACATTACTATAAGTCATAATGCCGAGAAAGTAACTATATATACTTATGTGGATTAAAAAAAAAAACAATGTGTGGATAATATCATTTTCACAATCCTAATTGTACAAAGGTTACTTTGACAATAATCAAACTAACATTTGCATAATTAGGATTGTGAAAAGGATATCCACGTGTTGGTTTTTTTTTCAGTCCAAATAAGTATATTGTTCCATTCTTCACATTATGACTTATACTAATGTCTTTATCAAACTTTAAGTCCATTATTTGGTGTGACATCCTCTTAAGGTGAAGCCTTACTAGTTGAATTTTTTTTCAAAGGTTATGAATTCCAAACACACAAAGGACTCTTTTGTTTCATTATTTCCAATGTCTCGAATACATAAAGACAAGAGAACCCTAAATGTATGAATTAAAAAAAATAGTAGGTTCCTTTCATGTTAATGCAAAGCAAAACCAAAATTGCATGCATATACAGTTTAAGGTTCAAATAACTCTTTTGATAAGCTTTACATGACGTGTTTGACCACTTTTCACTTCGGCCCCTAAATTACGATTTTGCATAAACAATCATATTAGAGTAAGGAAACACATATGATAACATCACACAAAATAGAGCATGTAGATGCTCAAATGGAAATTATCAAATGAGAGAGAGATTATTCTTTACCCCAAAATTTCATTATTGAATACTTCTGACAAGTATGTGCATAAGCAGAACTTGCTTGTTCCACCTTTGGTATGTCTTTCTTTTCATCCTCAAAAGGATATTGATGACATATCAAAATGTTTTTTGTATATTACCTCATACAAGTGAAGAATGTTATATCTCAAAGCATTGGTTACTCTGAATTTTTATCAAGTGGCAACCAAAACCCTTGTTCAGGCTGCATCTAAAGATTAAAGTTTCCAACAGCAAGATTTTTACCATCAAAATTGATGTGCGGAGAAACATAATCTTTCTTTACGTCCTCCTTAGGTACTCGAAGATAAGACCGAGTAAAATTTCTTTTTTTAGTTAGTTGTATGTTAATGCACAGCAAAATAAGGATATCCCCCTGTTCCACTAATACCTTTAAAATAAACAAAACTATGCATTCATCAACCTCTGCTTCAAATTGGTTCGACACTTTTCACCTAATAACCTAAATCGGACAATATGATCACCATATTAAAAACTTCCCAAACCCCCAACCATCACAAATAATAAAAATTGAAAAAAACAAATTTACAAAGCATTCAACATCCATATGAAAACATAAACAAAACAAAAACCCTAACAGCATAAATTAAAAGGAAGATACTAAAATAGAAATGAATTCCGTACACTAAGAGGTCATTGTCGTAGAGGTATGAAGAGATTTCATGAGAGAAAGGCTACGTGTATGAGTAGATAGGGCACAAAAAAAACATATAAGCTAATGGAGAATACATATTTTGATTACATATAGGTGCTATTAGCTTAAGGGATTGTTTGGTAGCATCTGGATGATGAAGAGTCCTAGATGATGAAGAGGATCTTTATGAATCTATATCTGAACAATAAAATTGTTCTTTATGAAAATAAGATGCTATATTAGACAACAAAATAAAAATATATTGCTATTCCTTGCATTTGCTTTGATTGGGCTAAATGCAAGAAAAAGCAAGGTACTTACATTTTGTTGTCGAATAAAGCATCTTACTTTCATTTCTTTTTATTTTTTTACTTTAGTGCCTACTATGCTAGAAAAAACTATCCATATAATAGCAATGTCATTAAAAAAGAAAGCATTTTTCATGTGCTATAACTTGATAAATTTCTTAAGTACAATGTCTTAATAAGAAAGAAAACGTCAAGTACAATGCTATAATTAGGTTTTTTTAATAGTAGGGTGCCTTAATAAAAAATGAGAATGGAGACTCTTCTTTTGTGTTTGCAATAGTTCTCACACGGGGAAACCTTAAAATAACTAAAAGAAAAGAACCAATAATTTTGAATCAATAAAATAGTTGAAATTTGATTACCCTGCTTAAAAATAAATCTGCAAAATGGTTAAAAATCACAAAATCCTTTTTCTTAGAAAACCCCCGCATCAGAAACAATAGTTTTCTTCAATCTCCATATATGGTTTTGATAAGAGAAGATAAATTTTATGTTTTATTAAGTTAACTGAAGATAAAATTACACAAAATATATATAATTACATAAAATATAGCAAGTTAATAAAAGAACAAACAATATAATACCTTACTCATAAAATATGTCCAAGCACATGATAAACCTGTAATAAGATAAAATTTATATTAGCATTTAGTATCAGCCAATAATCAAAAGAGTTTTTACATCCAGATTTGGCTAAGTGGATGTTAGACTTGGTAATAAGAACTCAAACAACCAAAATCCATTGCGAAAACATGAAACGAACCAGATTAAGATCCTAATCATGATCATGTACATGAAAATATAACTAAAATAAAAAAAGCATCAAACCCTAGCTTGTTCAAATCAAAACACGTGTTAAACCGAGCGATCCATTCAGAAAGTTTATGTTTAACAAAACAAATGAAATAATTTACCATGAAAACCCCTTTAGCAAACATTCAGTTGGATAACATCTACACAATAAAAGGGAACATGCTTCTATGTTAGCGTTTGATTACAAATACTTTTGTTAGTCAAATCTGAAACAACCAGAAACAATTTGAAAAAAAACTTGCAATAATACATACATGAATCAAATTCTGATCAACATGCACACAAAGACACAAATTGAAAGAGAGACCATGGTTGAAATTTGAGAATACCTAACATTTGGTAGCACTTCACAAATGTAGGATGAACTTAGGGGGTGTTTGGATAGGGAAAAAAATAGGCTGCTTATTGCTTATCGCTTAATCCCACCGCAATAAGCAAATTTAAGTGTTTGGATAGAAGTCTTTAAAAATCAGCTTATTGCCGTAGGAATAAGCAAAATAAGCTGATTTTAATAAGCAAGGGGGAATGCTTATTGCTTATTGCTTATTGGTCATTTTACTCATATAAACTGTTTTATTTTGCCAAACACTTAAATGCTTATTGCTTATTACTTATTCCCACCGCAATAAGCTAATCCAAACATATTTTAAAAAAAAGTTTATTCTCACCACAATAAGCAATAAGCTAAAAACTATTTATCCAAACACCCCCTTAAACACTGTAAATAAAAACAAACATTTGATTAAATGAAAATCACCAACAATCAAAATACATTTCCCAATAAAATTAAAGAGCAAGAATAACGTATAGAGGTTCGATGGGGGAAAAGAAAAATGCATTGAAAATAGAGATGTCACCGTTACAGTTTTGCCGACACCTGCACAATCGGAGTCAGCTTTTGGTTTCTCACCATCTGATGCACATTTGGGATAATTTGGAGACTTTCATCTGATTGAGATTTATCTCTCTTGTTCTCTGTAAAAGAATGGAGAAACAAATCGAACCTGTGAATAAAAGATGGCGATGGTTGTGTAAACGGGTGAGTGGTGGTGAATGTCCAACCCACAACTTGAACTCTGTTCTTGATTTTTCTTTAATTTCCAAATCTTTCTTCGTCTTTGTTTACGTTTACCCTCGAATCCAACAAAGTAAAGCCCTGACACCAATTCCTCATCTTTAATCTTGAGTATCCCTTTAAATTTATGGTAGATGGTAGGTGCGCTGGCGATAAAGGGTTTTTCTTACAAAAATAGAAAGAGACAGAGAAACAGAAGGTGATGATGCGGTAGAGATAGTTTAGAAGAGGTCGAGAGAAGAAGCCCTGTAAAGAGAAAGCATTATGGCGTTGTAAAAAAGAGAAAGATGGCTGTAGAGAGAAAGCATGATGGCGTTCTTAGGGTTTGGCTTGGTAGAAAGAGAAGAAGCGTGTTCAGAAGGATGAAGCACTTTTCCATTCTGGTGGGATTTGACCTTGGGATTTGACCTCGTTTATTTTTCTATAAAAGTACTTTTTGAGTACTTTTCCTTGTGGTGGGATTTGACCTTGGGAACAGTCGCTAGTGTGTGCTGTTGCTTCACCATTTCTTGATTCCTCTGCTTTCTCTTCTCGCATCTGTCTCACTATCGCAACTAAAAGATCTAGAATGGTCATCATACCAATAAGCACTCCAAATAGGGTTTTGTTGAGTTTTTTTGGCCACTGATGGTGGTGGAGAAAAGCTGGCTGAGATGGTTGTGTCTAAGGTTAGGGGGTGTTTGGGATGCTTTTTAGCCTTAAAAAAAAAAAAAAACTTTTTCGCTTATAACAAAATGACGGTTTAAAATGTGTTTGGATAAATTTTGAAGAAACATGTCAAAAAGCCAAAAGTCATCAAAAATCACAAACTTTTAACTTTTAAAATCACTCATTTTTCTTCTGGCCAAAATGTCATTCTAAAAGGACTTTTAAAATTGTTAAATATATTTTTAAACTTTTAGCTTTTTAAAAAAACCAAAAGTTCAAAAAATCATTTTAAAATTAATCCCAAAATATAGAAATGTATTTCATTTTTAGTGTTTAATTTCCTTTTTCATCAAACCCATAAAACCCATACCACAGGGATTAGCTAAGATACGTTTCTTCGGAAGTATAGAGAAAACATGTATTTCTTTGGAAGTGCAAAGAAAGTGTAGAGAAAGAAGAGGCCTTTCAAACAAAGTATAGGAGCACTGTACATTGATTGTGTTCTTATCTACACCAGATGTTAGGTGTTGTTATTGACACCTAGTTTACGACCAATTTTAATGTCAAAATCACCATTTGGTAAAACCAGGGAATTTTAATGTCACCCAACAACTTGATGATTACCCTATTGACTCTTTAATTATTTTATATTATTTTGAATTCATTTTGTGAATGTAAACGGATCGTATTTTATATTTACGATTTTTTTCTCTTTAGATTATTGTATATTACAGGTTCCACCCTTTCAGTTTGTTGTAAGTATAACTATAGAAGAATATTTATGACATTTTTATTGGCTTTTTAATTTTATTACACATTAATATTTCTCATAACTTTAAAACGATGAAATAAAAAAAAATATTAGAAGAGTAAACAAAAGATTAAAATATATAAATAATATTTTAAAAATAAAAAAATATAAAAATCAAAGATAAGTTTTAAATAAAAGAAATATAAATATAATTTGAATATATAATAACATGTCGGGTCGGACAGACATTTCAAGTCGAACACATAATTCAAAGTAATTTCTTATTCGGCGCAAAATTCAACAATACGACGTATAATTCAATTTGTTTAATCATAAAATATATAATATTTTTCTTATAAATAGCTCCTTCAATTTTGTTTTCATCGTATCTAATTCTGGAAAACAATATATTTTAAGTAACGACATTAGTTTGCTAAATATTTGTCATCGTTTGATGAAGTAAATTACGAAGTATGTTTATTTATTTGCCATCACCAAAGTTAACCGCCCCCGAAGGACATACATTTGGCTTTCCAAGAGGAAAACTGATTCTATACTCTCTCCACAACCGGCTGCTAATTCCTCTTTAAAGACATATTTTCCCCCACCGGAACTCCAAGATACTTAAAAGGAAAGGAAGCAACGTCGCAACCAAGAGTACGAGCACAAGAGGATATTTCACCATCCGTGACACCGACTCCAAAAACCTTGGATTTATGAAAACTAACCTTTAGCCCCGAGGAGGCATAGAAACACCTCAAAATGCGAGTAAGATTGGAAAAATTATTCGTATCATCGGCATAGAAGAGATGAGACGAAGAAGGGTTGTTGTGGGAAATCCGAACACCTTTAAACAGACCCATTTGACAAGCAGTCTTCATCACAACATTTAGGCCCTCCATGGCGATGATGAAGAGAAAATGGGATAGCGGGTCCCCTTGTCTCACCCCTTTTGACATATGGAACTCCTTAGTGGCGGACCCGTTAATAAGGATCGATCCCCAAGTTGAGTGTAGACAACCCCTAAACCACATCATCCATTTGGGACCGAAACCCATCTGCGATTCCAAGTACCCCCAATTTATAGAGTCAAAAGCCTTGTTGAAATCAACATTGAAGAGGAAAAGTTTGTGTTTCACCTTTTTCGCCCGATTGCAAACTTCATTTATGATCAGAAACCCTTCTAGAATATTTATTCCTTCAATAAAAGTGGTTTGTTCCTCAGCGATCATTAATTCAATAACTCTTTTAATCCTAGAAGCAAGAGTTTTGGCCAGAATTTTGTACACGCCCCCAATTAGGCTAATAGGCCGGTAATCACCAAGAGAAAGAGGGTCCTTTTGTAACGCCCTGTTTCAGATCGTTTCCATTTCAGGGTGGTGACCAAGGATTGGGTATTAGCGGGCTTAGAATCCTTGGAGAAGTTACTTTTGGACTTATTTAGAGGTGGATGATGTATATTGGATGATCCGGGTATTCGGTTTTTGTTTTGGAGTTAAAGGGTAGTTCAGTAATTTGTCAGCTCGGGCTTCTATGGAAAATAGATGTTTGTTCAGGATATGGTAAGGCGGGTATGATTTGATTAAGGCATAGAGCTTCTCGTTACCTTTTCATGGATATATGGATCGTCGGAATCGGATGTATATCGAATATGGCCTTCGGAATGTGTAGGGTTTGAGGTGAAACCCTAGTACGCGGGGCGTACCTAGGAAGTACGCGGGGTATACTGCTGTGGAGGAGGATACGTGAGGCGTAGTATGGATTACACTGAGCGTAGTGTGAGGGTTGATCGGGAATGAAAAACCTCGCACGATGGGCATACGAGGAGTATCCGGGGCGTACGAGGGGAATTAAGAAACCCTAATTTTTGGTATGGGACCCAATATAAACATATTTAGTCATTAGGGTTGGCCTATTCACCAACCTATAAGTCCCCAAAACCCTAGAAATGGTCTCTAAGCCTCCATGGTTGTGATTTTGATCTCATGATGTGCATTTTGGTTTTTTGGGTCATTTCCAAGAAGATGGAGTTTGATGCATGGTTGTGAATCAAGGATGAGCTTATGGATCTGGATTATGTGCTTTATTTCCAGCTTGTGTGAGGTAAAAAGCTTGAATCTTATTCATTGTTAACTTAGATCTCCTTTGTTTGAGTTTTGGACCCATTTTGGTCCCCTAGTGAAATCTTGTGGATTATTATCATTTATGAAGCTTAGAGTTGCTACTCTTGGTGTTCTTTTGGTCCTAGAGTCATAAATTTGTCACCTTTGAGGCTTAGAACCATCCATGCATGAGTTATGACCATTGTTATGGAAGTAGAAGATTATATTTCGAGATTGGGTTCGTTTGGGTCATGCAAAGTCACCAAGTCAATGACTTTATGGTTCTAGACGATGTTTATGGCTTAGATCTATGGTTTGGACTTATGGACTTAAGCATTAAGACCTTAATGTCAAAAATGGCTTAAAGGAGGAGTATGTTGGGCGTACAAGTTTGTACGCGCAGTATACAAGCCATATTGCATGTACGCTTAGTGTACAGTTGAGTACGTCACGTGTACTCAGTCAGGAGGGTTTTGGCTTGGGTGTTTGATTTCTTATTGGGCCATCTGAGTATGAGAGTCTTGGACCAGGATATGTGAAGACCTTACAAGATATTGGTGTGTGTATACCAGGTGCCAATGTTTTTAGGTCTGTGCATTTCCAGAAAAACAAATAGTCTGCGATGATTTATGTTTGCATATGGTCTGCACAGTGCAGAAAAAAGTGGTCTCGCAGATCTGCAAAAAAAAAAAGAAAAACAAACAGCCCCTAAGCCTCAAAAGTTTTTTTTTATTTGTAAAAAACAAAAACAGAACTCTAATTTAGGGATAATCCCATAAAAACCAATGAATTTTATAATATGTTTGTAACACCCCGTTTATTTATTAGAAAAATAAATAAATTAATGATCGAGTTGTAGCCCTAAAATCAATAATTATGTAGCGAGGTGTGATTTCGAGGAGCTAATTGTCATAATTTTTAAGTTGGGGGTTAAGAGTGTAAGTTCTGGACTTAATTTGAGAAAGGTTTCATAAGTAAGGGTGCATTTGGTAATTAATGGATTTAAATTGAAAAGAATTGAAGGCTTAAGGGGGCTGATTGGTAATTTAAGGACTTATTATGAAAGAAATTTATGGATTCAGGGTCTAAATGGTAAATATTGGCTTTGCTTTGAAAGATATGTGAAGGGAGGGACTAATTGTGACATTATGGTAATGTGCTTAAGGGTGTTGGGTATTTAGCTGAACATAACCCTAAACCTAGGAACCTTGAGTCAGCCGCCAACCCACCTTATCTCTCCCTTTTCCGGCCACACCTCACGACTCCTCCATCACCAATCATTGTTCCTCGTCTGTGAAGTCGGAGGACCACCGAGATGTCACCGTTGTGGTTACTGCCGCCGGTAAAGCCGAGAACGCCAACAGGAGGGTCGTGGAACCCCTTCAGCCACCGCCAAGGACCACCGAACCCTCTCCGTCCTTCTCCATCTCTTTCTCTCGCCAACAATCGCACGTAGCTGGGAAAGAATCACCGTGTTAGGCGATTGGGCACCGGATGGGGGAAGCTGTCGTCAAGTTGGGACCATAGCACCACCAGAAGCGCCACCGCTGCATCCATTCCGTGACCGTTGAAGGTTGCCCTCGGTCGTCGGGGTAGTGGGTAGTCGTGGAGCGTGATTGTTACCGTTGTCGTTCTCCAGTCGGGGTCACGACTCCCCACCCCCCTTTCCTTCCATTCACTGTCGTCACTAACTCCGGTTGTTGACGTCGTCGCGGTGCGTTTCAGGGAAGGTTTAATGCCGCCGGTTCCTCGTGGATGGCTCAGTCGAAGATGATGTTGTGTTCGTGGGTTGTTGTTGTCCCACCGTGCACTGCTACCATCCTCCGCCGCCACCAGCCACCGTGGAAGGTGGCTGTGTGCATGTCTTACTATGTGTAGGTGTGTGTGGTTGTATTTCTATTAGTTGTATGTATGTTTTGGTGTTTTAGGTAGCCGGAGTTCATAGAAGAGGCATCACCACCACCATAGGGTGGTGGCTGCCGCCACGAGCCACCGTCGGCCATCACTAGGGTTGTTGTGTGTGTGTGTGTTAGAGT